AGTATCATCCCCAAACGAACCAAGCTGAGCGGGCAAATAGAAACATAGTTCATGCGATAGCCTGTTATGTAAAATCCGAACATAGAAGGTGGGATGAACACTTAATAGAATTGCAATGTGCTTTAAACACGGCTGTGAATGAAGCAACTAAATTTTCACCCTATTTCCTAGTCCATGGTAGAGAGTATATAATAGATGGTAATTTATATTTAAATTCCTTCCCTCCATGTCCGTTAGATCAAATTACCTCAGACAGTACAGTGGAGTATGGGAAAAAGCTGCTTGAACTTAATAATATCTTCCAAAAGGTGAGGAAATATTTGATTGTTGCCCACCAACGGAACGAAAAACAATATAACCTCAGAAAAAGACACATTGAATTAAGAGTTGGCCAGATAGTGTATAAACGTACTCATTATTTATCCAATAAGGCAAAGAATTTTTCTTCCAAATTAGCACCAAAATTTATTAAATGTGTAGTGACGGCTAAATTATCACCTTTAGTTTATACTTTAACCGATTTAAATGGTAAATATTTAGGTAATTATCATATTAAGGATATACTAAAATATTCTGAACAACAGAACTAACAAATCTTTGAATTCCACATAGGATGCTTATTTTAGTCACTTTCAGTATTAAACGGTTGGTTAAGAAGAGTTATGGTATAGGAAGAGTGCATATGGAAATCTGTGGGCTACGGTTCGAAACCTGCCTGAAAATTAAATTGTTTTTCTCTTTTAACTAAATAAATATTTATTTACAACTTTTTTTTTAACCTATATGATCACTTTTAAAAAAAAAATATGCTTAAATGAAATTTCGAGGAATTTTAATATTTTAACACAAAAAAAAAAAATTTTTTTTGATAAAATTATTTTCGTCAAGTTGTGTTTACTGATATGCATATGAGTATGAGAGTAATATGAAATGCGTGATGTATGAAAAGTTTTTTTTTTCCAAAATAAGCACGTGCAATTTATTTTAATACTTAATAGAAAAATAGATCTTGATGTAAGAAAGTAGGCATGCGTCCGATATATCAAAACGAATCCAAAATCCGATTTCAAACACAAATCGATACCGAACGATTTCTCAACAAGAAAATCCGATTTCAGAAATCTAACCGAACCAAAACGCCAGCGATCTAATACCATCATAAGTATCCAAATGTAAATCGGATTCGAAATTCATGCTATCTTTTTTTCTCCGCTATGTAGCGATTGGTTAGAAAGAGAGAAAGTGAATTTCTTTGTCTCTTTCTTACCAATCGTAACAAAGCGGAGTAAAAAAGATGGCGCAAATTTCGGAAGTCCGATTTCGGTTTGTTGTTTAAGGAAATCTGTTGCTCTTCTCTAAGGCGAGATTATTTATCACTAAAAACATCAAAAGTCGAGCAACTTACATTTATGAATCCTAACCTGAAGGAATTAGGTTTGATTTTGTAAATGGTTTGAAAAATAATAAAAACAAACAGAAAAATAAAATTCATCAAAAAAAAAAATACTAAAAAATTTGTAAAAAGAAGTCATTGCCCGTTTTTTTAGCTAATAAAACCAAATCTTAACGCAAACTAGTGAATTGGCTAAGTTAGGCACATCTGAAATCGGATATCTAAAAACGGATTTTGAAATCGATTTTTAAATCTGAAATCCGATATATATCCGTTTGCGTTCAAAACCAAAAACGCCCATGTCTATAAGAAAGGCATAAGCATAAGGAAGTAGACATATACTTTAGACTTGATAATTAAAGATAGGAAGATTGTTGGAAAATAATCTTAATCTTTTGAGTTAGAAAACATACAAACTTCTTTAATCTTGAGTTGTTTTCTTAACTACCTTAAGTTCTTAAGATGGAAAAAAAGCCATGTTATACCACTGGATATTAGATCCAAGAAAGGTATTTACATGAAACTAAAAGAAAAATCATTAAACAGCAAATATTTAATTGTTGCTATTGACTTAGAGTTTAGAACATTACGTGGAGTAAATAAATGGATACTCACGTATATAAGTTTAAATTTTTTATCTTGGCTAATACTTAGTATTGTTGATTTGTCTGTAAGTCAGTTGCAGGTTAATTAATTAAAAAAAAAATTTTTTGGGAAAAATTTTTTGAGATAAGGGGGATGTTGTGTAGCAATTAAATTTAATAACGTTAAAAACTTAGCAATATAATTCTTAAATATTAAGTCGTAGAAATATTATTATTTATTCAGCGCCATCTATCATCATGCATATAAATTATTCAATATCGAAATCCACTTTGAAAAGCAATGGACAAGTACAATATATGTGTGAACCTAGTAGTTGTATTTGGAATGTAAGTTAGAGGGAGCTAGTGTGTAATTTTTTTAAATGAGATGCGGAAATGGATGTGACGTCACATTAATGTTCTGGAAACATTGAAAGGCGGAGTCAGCAAAACCGGTCCGTGTGCTTCCTCATACCAAATATGGTGATATGAGAGAAATTTGCAATGACGCTGTCACGTGTTGTAGTAGCCTATAAATAGCAGTGCACAAACAGATTCGCTCTCTTTTGGCTGATAGAACCTTGAAGACCATACTTAGAAAATAGCATTAAGACTAGCAGTGGTAGTCAGTGCATTATATACTTGTTATTTCTCCCCGGATTAACGGGTAAGTTCAATACATTTGATTCGTTAGGCTGTAGGTCCAGTTAGTTTTTTTATTGAATTAAAGAAAAATATGTAATTGGTTCTAGGTCCATTAATTTGGCTAATAAATAACAGTAATAGTCACATTTACTTAATCCTGATTGGAATCTCCTTGGAAATATATATATATATGAGCCTGTGAAGCTTCCTTGAGCAAAAAAGTGACGGGTTCACGTGATGACAGCAAGTCCTGCTTCATCCCTGAGGACATTTGAGTGATCCTGATGCTCCCATGATCTTGCCAAGCTAAGTAAAACTTATAACTTCTTGATATTTAACCAGTGCATACTCCGGATAACAATTTCTGTTTAACGTGATAAAGGATTTCTATTAGTAAACTATAAAGCCATTATAAGTACATAACAAATTTTTATTGTTAGATTTTCAAAAATTTAATATTTTATAACTTGTTTAATAATTTGTTTATATAAGAAACTTAAATTGAGTATTACTGTATTAGCACATGATCTTGAATGTTTGAATAGCTTTAAATCAAAAGAAAAATCTTTGAAGAAATATAACTATGTATTTTTAACTTGAATGTGACTAGTATTAAGTTTTAACCATGATGAAATAAGATCTGAATCTTTTTAACAATATAATATCTTGTTCACTGCTGTTTTAGACATTTTCATTTATCTCCCTCAAATCACAGTATCACGGCGCCCTGATTTTAAATTAAATAAGTTTCGAGTCTCATGTACGCCCTGAAATAGTCGGTGGTAACTAAAATTGTTACAAGGTGAGCCGTTGGAATCAACAAATCCGAAACTGATATAAGATTCATCATACTTCCTTTTTTTCGTCTTTGAAACCGTCGAGCTTGACGTCGTGGCACTCGTGGCATCATCTTCTGGATCGGTGATTGCTAAATTCTCCGCGCGCATTGCTTTTGAACATTCAGCGTCATTAGAGGATGTTGTTGGAACACGTTTAACACCTTTAAGCCAACGTTCCATTCTTCTTTATTTATAATGTTACAAGTCAGGATAGTGGGGTTTAAATAATGCACAATCGTTACTGCGTATAAGAGACTAAATTTAGAACCTACAGGGAAGAAATGTATAAAACTGAGACAACAGAATACAGCAGGCAGTAAAACAATGAACACCAGTTTCTCGCTAGCGAGCTTGTAAGTAGGTAGTAACTTATCGCTCCGAACGCTAATCATCAACTGACGACGCCAACGCGCGATCGCCGCTTTTATACTTAGTCCTAGACTCGATCTCAAATATTCTCGAAAATACTCGAGTCGGCACCTTTGATAAACAAAAAGCAAAAATAAAAACAGAAATTTAAAAATAGCGTTGTAAACAATATCGACTTTATCCTTTGAAGTTAGAGACGAAAGTCGCTAGTTGACAACTATAGCGTCTAATTCAGAGGCGGCTTTTATCAAAGAGACTGAGCGCTTACAAGTATACTACCCGCTCGTTTTAAGTTTGCCGCTGGCGATAGGTATGAGTGTATGACGTTCGAAATTTTTTATTTAATTGTAACAATAAAAATTGTGTACGTTAGATATTTGGGTAAAACTATGACACATTATAAGTTTTGTTGTCACGTGGGGGAGGGTACGCGCATTCCACAGACCGGCAAACTTAGAGCGAACGCGTTGTACAAGTATAAAATTGTTGAGACCAAACTTATGAGATATTGTACCAGCTAATGTAACACAAGCTTATACAAATACAAATAAATAAATAAATAACATTCATAGCGTTTTGTCTCCGCGCGGCCGCGGAGTCCGCACAGCCGCGGAACGACCAGAGAGAGGTGTTTTGATTTTTTTATTTCTAAATTCTTGCGGAACCCCGACAGAGGTATCACGGAACCCTAGGGTTCCGCGGAACACACTTAGAGTATAGCTGCTCTAACCGATAGGTGGCGCTGCAATTGGTTTTAGGATTTCTTTATATTTTTATCGAGCATCGACAAGGTCTGCCTCCCTGCGCCGCGATATGGTATATAACGCGTTTTTATCACGCTCAATTGTCAAATTATTACGGAATTTGTCAGTTACACGCGATATTAAACATGATATAATGTAAATTGTGGTGCTCATTCTACAGGGACTGGCATGAGCACCGCGACATGATATATAACGCATTTGTATCACGCTTATGCAAATTACTATGGAATTTCACGTTTAGACGCGATAAAATATGTGTTATAATGTAAATTGTGCCTTTTTTATTGCATAATTTTGCATGAAATTTTTGTTTAAACTCATGTAGAACATAAATCTATGTGTAGACCGCATGTTTAACTTTTTTGCGGTAATAAGGTAAGAGTTTGTGGTATTGGAACTGACTTACCTTAAAACTGTTTTGGATTTGTTCTTCAGTAGCAAAAGCTACACTAAATATTTCATTTGTTATGCTGTACATGGAGTTCTGACGTACAGTCGTAATTTTGAACACAAAAGTCCGCCTGAACTGGAACACACGATTGGTTCTCTCCTTATAAACTCCATCGACCACAAGTACCATAGATTTTTTCTGTGGAAGATAAATTAGGGTTAAAGAAAATATAACTAGAAAATTCCACGCGGACCAGGCAGCAGACGGGACTTGAGCCCGCACCCTTCGCTATCCGGGCGAATGCTACCGCGGTCCTGATGGCCGCGTCGAAATTCTTCTAGCCATTCTTAAGGGCCGCGGTAGCATAATTGGTGAGTGCATTCGCCCGGATAGCGATAGGTTCGGGTTCAAGTCCCGTCTGCTGCCTGGTCCGCGTGGAATTTTTTCTAGTTATATTTTCTTTACATTTAAACATCAAGCAGTTACATGTGTTACATGTGCGCCTAGTAACAAACATACTAACTTTCACATTTATATTATTAGTGGGAAGTACAATGGATTTCATTTATAAAGGCCCTACCTTGGTTGTAGCGACCTTTTACCTATAGCGACGTTAAATCTAAGTCCCTTGAATTTAAAGCATACTTTAGTACAAAATTCATGTGGCTATAGCGACTTTGCATGTAACGCCGAGTTCGGGTGTTGCGACTATTTTTGATGAATGATTTGTAACAAATTCTTAGAAATCACATGCAGATATTGCGACCGGACTCGGCAGCCAAAGACACAAAGATTTCATTCTTTCACAAACAATTCATATCTTTTGTTAAAATTCACACAGATGGCTAGCAAGTGTGGAGATCTTTACCATTTGTTTATAGATATCAGCTAAGGGAGGGTGTACGTTTCGGAGTTAGATTTATGATTCAGTTACAACGTGATATTCTGAGTAGCAACTGGGTTAAACTTTTGAATAAGTATGGCTGCTAGACGCACATTCACTGTTAAAGAAAAGGCGGAAATCATTTTTAAATGAATATAAACTATATATGTGTATATAAGTATCTGTATCTCTGTACCTTTGCCTGTAACAACTTCCTAAAGTTGTCCCTTCATCGCCGTTATACCCGAAATCCACTGTAGTATAACAAATTCATGTTACAAGGATACTTACGTCATGATGTGGAACATCCACTGTGAACGAACTAGGATCGTGTGTAGATGGCGGTAGGCTATGAAATAAATCGCCGATTTGTTGCTTCGATTTGTACACTTTAATCTGTTTGTTCGGATCCAGTATATTCCCCGAGTGAGTTCCATATACTGGCATCATTTGGATATCAGCATCTGAAGCACAATGATATTAACTTTATTGCGAAATGAGGAAATAATCATGTTTTTATTAGAGATGAACCGAAAATCGTTTTACATTCGGTTTACATGCAGCTTTTATCGACCTTGGTTTTTGGCCGAATTTTAGCTAGATCTCCCGAATGTCGACCGAAATTCGGTAGCTTAAAATATATAAATAAGAAATGGTAAAGTGAAAAGAAATGTATTTTATAATGAAAGCTTGATCAAATGATGATTTGTAAGCAAATAGGTTACTACAACGTGGGTCATCATCATTCATCATCAATGTCAGCCTATTAATGTCCCCACTGCTGTGGCATAGGCCTTCCCTATCGATGGATAATCGTCAATATCGTATCGTGGATAACGTGGATAATCGTTCGTTATTTCCATAGACAATAAAAGTGTCAATATCAAAAATATGGTTTAAAAATTATCAATTGTAATATTAATTATCAGCAATGAAACATTACATTCTTTCATCTTTGTAGCTTATTTAAGATAATAATACTTTTTAGTGTTGAATTTTTTTTAATTGTAACATATTTTATTTTTAAACATTTTATTCATTGAGCAAAAGTACGCGAAATTTAACCGAATTTCCACCGACATTGGACTTCGGCGTATATTAAAACCGAACATTCGGCCGAATTTGATATCCGGTGCAACACTAGTCTTTATACATTTTTATCTCTCCACACTTTGATACTTTGAAATTCTCTATAAATAGCGTTAACCTCTGTATAAATTAAAGTGTAGCTGCACAAATCAAAATATTGCCATAATTTACGCTCTACTGGCGCAATTACACTTGGTCGTTACCCCGAATACAATTTCCTATAAAATTCGGGTAAACGACTAAGTGTAAATGAACGCCCGTATTCGGACAGTTTTCGTTTTGATTATCACCACGTCGTTTTCAAGCCCATGTTCGAGTAAAAACAATGAAAATATTGCATTAGGTGCTTCAATTCAAGTAATGTTGTTCGTGCACTCGAATATGGGCTAACGACCAAGTGTAAATGCGCCTTAAGATATTGCATTAGAAACGGATATTGTTCAACAAAAAAAAATTACTTAATTGCACTTTAATAATCATAGCTAGCTTTGTTACATTTTTATTTACTAACACTGTTATGAGATGTTAATGTTGTATGTTATGTTGATACATTATACAAAAATATTTACCATTGAAATTTGCAACCAAAGTTACAGTCACATTTTTATCAACATAAAAGTGAATCATTCTTTTCCTCCTGCAATCATAGTTTGAGAAATATAATGTAAGGAATTTTTCAGTGACCATCTTTGTTCTTCTGTCTGGTGTCACAAGATAGTTCTTGAAATATGGCAGCATTAAACCTTGTTGATTTATATTGATCCCATCCTATAACAAGTACTATTTATTTAAATTGCACCCATATTTCAGTGTCATTTATGATCCTTAAAACGACAATCAGTGTAATAAATCCAAACCATCTATTATATCTACTAACTTAACTACAGATAACAACTAACTTTTTTATTTATTTGTCTTTCAAAAATTATTGGATATATATTGTTTTCTTTATTAAAAATGAGTCTTGGTACAATTTACAATTAGAAGGTACATCATGAGTGCCCATTCCAAAATTTTGATGCACTTTATCTGTGTAATTTTTTAATTGATTGACAAAAGAAAAAACTAGTGCCCACAATTTTTTGATAATCTAACTGAGAGACTAAATATTATTCAGTTTACTTCGTCATCATCCTTATTACTTGCATATTTTTATTTCACTGAAACAAAATAAGTTGCTCCTACCAGTTCTGTTAGTCTGGGAAACTTCTTAACTATGTTTTTCACATAGTCCACTGCATCTAATTCATCACATAAAGGATTGCCTTCAATCCATAATTTCTCAATTCTACTGCTTACTCTTAAAACTTCTGATAGAGAAGGTATCTGGAATCATAAAGTGATCACTTCTAAAATTTTATACACAGAGGCACAATTTATTGTTTTAAACTTTCATGGTCACTAATATTTTAGTCATTTATGTTTTTTATGTGACTGTTACCATGTACCTTGTTTTTAGTGAGTTTCCAATATTTCAGCACTGTTGTAAGCACCATGATCACGGAGTAACAAGATACATGGTAACAATCCCATAAATAACACAAATTACTATACAGAAGCATAACTTTATAATAACAAGCCTAACAGCCTTAAATTCAACTTTATATCTCAAATATTCAAGACCCAAGACCTATTCTTATATGTATCTGTTTAGTTTGCTACTTTAAAATTGCAGTTCATATAATTAATATGAGTGAAATCAAAAACACAAATATATTAACTCAGTGTCAAGTACTATGTTAAATATTACAATAATAATACATGGTGTCATGAAACTTGTTCAAAGGTATCTCAAACCATACTCACATTATTGTGACTTAGATCAACAGCTATCAGCTCTCCTCTAATGAAGAAATTTAATATATCAGTCGGAACCTGGCTAAAAAAATATTTCATTATTATACATTAATTCATAACTATAAACGAAACTAAATTTACAACTAAATTTACAAACCTTAGTTCATTATTGCTCAGATTTAACATTCTTGTGTCCCTACCAACTCTTAGCATCAATATTTTAAAGTGGGACAATAAATTAATTTTGTAAAATGTTATCTTCTTTTCTATGAATTCTGTAATAATAATATGAATTAAATTTAGGGATTTCCATATGAATCTATAGATGATATCAGAGCAATTCAAACAATTGCAAAATAATGTATTTACATCAATTTAGTAATATTGACACTATGAATATTTCAATATTTGATGGTAGAAAAAATTTATAGCAACGATTCAAAGAAGCTTTTAATAGGTCAACTTGAATAAAGTTTATTTTCATTTCATACCTGGGTCACAGCAAAAGTTCGATAAGTCAAGTTCAAATTTCTCATTCATCCTACCACTGACAACACCACACACAATATCCTCAATGGTGACTGGATTTTCAAAACACTCGACAGAATTCTTATCATTGAAGAGAATATCTATATTAAACATGTTTCTTTGAAAAGGAAACATGAAATCCAACTTAATCATTTTCATTATAAGACTAAGACTGCAGGTGTAAAAAGATGTGATGTCTCCCATGGACACATACTTCATTGGCACAATTGTTGATGTAAAGTACTGACTTAATGTGTCGAATAGTTGGACTGCTGTTCCTGTCCAGCTATGCACCTAAAATGAAATTGAAGGTAAATAAACTAATAAACACAGCAAAACCACATGAAAGATCTATACAATTCGAAATTTGATAATGCCTGATGCTGTATTATAATGCCTGATATTACTTACCATGATTTTATGAAAGGAATGCTTCGCAGCAGCATCTTCTCTAGCTAAGCAATTTTCAATGTATTCCGTAACAGAGTTACTGGAGGTAACTCTATTAAGTAATGATTTTCTGTAACTATCCAGCTGTAGTATCTTTGTAGACATGTTTTTAATTTGTTTTCTAGTTGCAATACCGGTAAATAAATATTTGAGTCCCCTACGTTTACAAATTAAATCCAAGGTTTATTTTTACTAAATAATAGGGCCATGTGGTGTGTCATTTGTTAGTCAAATGTCTTTCAAGTTTCTAATGTGGGTTCTGCTATTTTACACGCATTGAAATGTTTTTTTCACTTTACAATACTGACCAAACAAGCAAGTGAACTGTGAAGCAAGACTCTCCTATCCTTAATCAATAGGCATGCGTCCGATATATCAAAACGAATCCAAAATCCGATTTCAAACACAAATCGATACCGAACGATTTCTCAACAAGAAAATCCGATTTCAGAAATCTAACCGAACCAAAACGCTAGCGATCTAATACCACCACAAGTATCCAAATGTAAATCGGATTCGAAATTCGTGCTTTCGTTTTCGGAAGTCAGATTTCGGTTTGCTGTTTACGGAAATCTATTGTTCTTCTCTAAGGCGGGATTATTTATTACTGAAAAAAGATGTCTAAAAACATCAAAAGTCGAGCAACTGACATTTTTTTGAACGCTAACCTGAAGTTATTAGGTTTGATTTTGTAAATGGTTTGAAAAATAATAAAAACAAACAGAAAAACCAAAAAAAAATACTAAAAAAATATGTAAAAAGAAATCATTTAACATAAGCCGATTTTTAAATGCGCCGCAAAAGTTTTACTCTTAACCGTAAAGATAACTTTTCTGCTAGTCCTAAGCCACAGAATATATACTCTTGCCTAAGCCTAGATTTAAAGCATAAAGGAAAATCGCGCAAATCTACGAGTATCCTTGCTTCGTACAATTAATTGTTTGTGATTGTCGTTAGCTAATAAAACCAAATCATATCACAAACTAGTGAATTGGCTTAGTTCGGCACATCTGAAATCGGATATCTAAAAACGGATTTTAAAATCGATTTCGAAATCTGAAATCCGATAAATATCCGTTTGCGTTCAAAACCAAAAACGCCCATGTCTATTAATCAAACTTCAAACAACAGACAAAACAAACAAAGTCAAGGGGTGTATTCCGATATATATACCAGTATGCGATTCAAATAAGAATAGGAAAGCCAATGACCTCCATCTGTCAAATGTCGCTTGAAAAGTACGGTTTGCAAAAAAAACTTGAAATCTTTTTTTAGCACTCAGCTAATTCTAGAATAAATATCAAACATTTGTAAACAAACAATAACAAATATTGATAATTAATATCGGTTGACATTTTTTTTCATTTATTGAGCTTTGGCTATGAATGTTTGTTATTCTAAATCGTCAACAAAATGTCATTTTAAGTTGCGTTTAGAAACTCGATTTGAAACTTTCGTTTACTCAAAGGATGCATGTTCGTATGTGAACTAGTAATAGTGCATGATTTTTCATAACTACTCCGGTGGTAATGCAGAGATAAGCGGAATTGAAGAGCTTAATTCTGATTAATATTTTTTCTCACACAGTCTTAATAAATAAATATTATTAAGAATCGGTTGTTGTCTTTTCTCAAACTCAGTAAATAAGTTTTATTAAAAAAAAATCTGATGCTATTTATCACTTAATCTTAGAAAAAATTGCCTTTAAGTGTACGAGTACGGCCAGAGTGCACTCAGATTCAGATTCAGACTCAGAAAACAAGCGCGAGAAATAAACAGTGTTTTTAAAGCAGGGTGGCCATAGTGGCAGCAGGCAACCTGCTTAAACTACACTGTATATTTCTCGCGCTTGTTTTCTGAGTCTGAATCTGAATCTGAGTGCACTCTGGTCGTACCCGTACCCTTACAAGCAATTTTTTTCCCTTTTTCAGGCCTGCGGCCACTATGGCCACCCTGCTTTAACTAGGCAACCTGCTTAGACTACACTGTTTATTTCTCGCGCTTGTTTTCAGAATCTGAATCTGAATCTGAGTGCACTCTGGCCGCACCCATACCCTAAAAGTTGTTTGCAGTTACTTTTTCTTTCTCTCTGTCTACTAGTCTACTGCGCTCGGCCCGACATATATAGTGATCTGTGGCTCGTAGACATGGGCGTTTTTGGTTTTGAACGCAAACGGATATATATCGGATTTCAGATTTAAAAATCGATTTCAAAATCCGTTTTTAGATATCCGATTTCAGATGTGCCTAACTTAGCCAATTCACTAGTTTGCGTTAAGATTTGGTTTTATTAGCTAAAAAAACGGGCAATGACTTCTTTTTACAAATTTTTTAGTATTTTTTTTTTTGATGAATTTTATTTTTCTGTTTGTTTTTATTATTTTTCAAACCATTTACAAAATCAAACCTAATTCCTTCAGGTTAGGATTCATAAATGTAAGTTGCTCGACTTTTGATGTTTTTAGTGATAAATAATCTCGCCTTAGAGAAGAGCAACAGATTTCCTTAAACAACAAACCGAAATCGGACTTCCGAAATTTGCGCCATCTTTTTTACTCCGCTTTGTTACGATTGGTAAGAAAGAGACAAAGAAATTCACTTTCTCTCTTTCTAACCAATCGCTACATAGCGGAGAAAAAAAGATAGCATGAATTTCGAATCCGATTTACATTTGGATACTTATGATGGTATTAGATCGCTGGCGTTTTGGTTCGGTTAGATTTCTGAAATCGGATTTTCTTGTTGAGAAATCGTTCGGTATCGATTTGTGTTTGAAATCGGATTTTGGATTCGTTTTGATATATCGGACGCATGCCTAGTGGCTCGGCCTCGGCGGGATCGGGAAGCGTCACTTTAGCAGTTTTGTTTTTCTTGTTAAAAATTGTGTTGTGGCGGATGTTAGTGTCTAATAATGGTGGATTATTAACCACTAAGTGTTCGGGAACATGCACAAGTGTTGGCGAGTGAAACAAAATAGCGAAAAGTGTCTTTCGCCGTTCCCTCGAGAAGTCCACGGGGAGGTTCCAGTAAATCCCCATACTTTTGCTGGAACATAGGGAAAGGGGGATTGACTTGACTGCCACTTATTTTGACTTGATTTATTACTTTGACCACGAGTGCTATAGTATTTGTAAACATTTTAACACTTGACATTGGCTAAATGCACAAGACGTGCCAAGCCATTTAGATAAAAAAAAACAAACCACAGACTATCACAGAGTATCAGGCAGAGTACAAGTATCCACAAAAATAATTTATTCTGAAATTATTTTTTGGTGTTAGCCCAAAGAGAACTATAATACATCATACCTTCAAGCAATCACTTTATCCGGGGCCATAAAATGACGACAGTTTTATTCACAATATGCAAAATTTTATTATTTGTATTAGTTTTTATGAGCGTCATAACTCATGTAGTACTCGGTAATTCACCGCCTAAAAAACTTCAAATAGGAGTTAAAAAACGTCCAGCTGAATGTCCTATTAAAAGCAAGAAGGGAGATTTATTACATATGCATTATACGGTAAGATAATATAAAAAACTGATGAGGTTATGGTTGCTTGTGTAAGGTGTAGTTGCGGTTGCGGTGAATGTTAAAAATACTGCTATCCATGTTTATCAAATCGTTTAAAATTAAATCATTATTTTCAGGGCACATTGGATGATGGTACAGAATTTGATAGTTCTATTCCTCGAGGCAATCCTCTTACTTTCACTCTTGGTTCTGGTCAAGTAATTAAAGGGTGGGACCAAGGACTTATTGGCATGTGTGAGGGTGAACAACGGAAGCTTGTGATTCCTCCAGAGCTGGCATATGGTGAAGCTGGGGCTCCTCCTAAGATACCAAAGTCAGCAACACTCACGTTTCATGTTGATCTTGTGAAAATAGAAAGAAAAGATGAACTTTAAGTATGTATTTGATCACTTAAAAATTTCTTTTCTGAATGTATTTATACACTACAGTGATTGTTTTTCTAAACCATGTTGCACTGAATAATAATTCTAAATAATTGTTTTATATAATTTGGTTTCATTCAGTGTAATTAAATACATACATTCCAATATTTCAAGTGCGTTTCATCATCATCATCATCAGCTGAAAAACATCCACTGCTGCACATAAGCATCACAGGATTTTCATATACAACGATCCTGCGCTTTCTGCGTCAAGTGGGTTGTTGAAAGTGATTTTATTATTTTCAAATTAGACTTCCCAAAAAGATAAATAACATGTTTCATTGAGTGAAGCACTGCTATTGGTATTTCTATGATTTTTTTTCCCATGTATAATTTATAAATAACATAGTATAATAACTCCACAACTACAGTGAGACCAAACCATATTAAAAGAATAAACAATTCATGGCACTCAAGATGATCTAAGGATTCTTACAATATTAACTAAATAAATCAATATTAATAGTATTTACACACAATCCGATATCAGTTTCCTGATAAAAGTTTACAATAATTAAAAACATTCTGTAAGTAGTTTAAATAAATCTAATTTTACTATGAGTTGAGAGCTCTCGACAACCCACTAACGATATACAACTTAGGTGCCCTTCTCATAAATCTACAGACCAATCAGGTACCCCCCAAAACACAAGATTTATAATTGGAAGCATGGAAGGCACATGGTGGGCCGATCTTGTGAAAAATTGGTCGAAAAGTTGGAAAAGAAAAGCAGATTCTGGAAACTTCATGGCGTAAGTCATCTCTTATCACTTATTCAGCAGACTGGAAATGCTGGTGTCAGTGGCCTGGAAATGAAAGAGTTTCTAAAAACGAGCCGAGCCCGACAGAAGTTGCTCAGTATCTTTGCTTCTTATACTTATTATAAAAACAAATTTATTTATTTATTAGAAAACACATACAACTATTTTTACAGGAATACTCCTAATACAATAGTGTAGTTCTTAAAATTACAGTTACTAAAATAAACATAATTGTATTAAAAAAAGACAATAAAAAATAATTCCATTTTGTTACTTATAAATTAACATAACATAATGTACATATATATTTTAAAAAATGAATTAAATTATACCATTATTATTCAATACTTGTCATCCAAGTTGTCATCTCTGTTACCAATTTCCATTACCACCGATCTTTTAAATAAAGATAATGGACAGTGAAATAAATCAAATTCTTACGGCAACTAGATTTAAGGTGTGCAACGTACGCGTCAAAGGTGACTTATAGATTAGTTCTTGCGGCTGGTACCGCGAATAGTTTCGGCCGCCTGCGCCTCGCCACGTACCCATCCGGCACACTCAGTCTTATCATACCCAGTATTTCTGGATTTGAAATGCTGCCTCGAAATACTCTCATTATATAACATGCGAGAGCTAAATCCCTTCTTGTTTCTAGTTTGTTGTATCCAACCATGCCTAATACGAACAAGGTTGGATACATCAATGGATAGAACGGATAAACACCATATAATCGTAAATACAGATATCTCGTGAATTTATTTTGAATCCGTTCTAACATCAAACTGTACTTAGCTTCGTGCGGAGCCCACACGACGGCGTTAAACTCGAGCTTGCTTCGAACAAGAGCATCATACAGAGCCGATATAGTTTTTAAATTTGTAAAGCCCTGCGCACGACGCAAGACAAATCCCAGAGTCCTGTAAGCCTTTTTACAGACTTCTACAATGTGCTCTCTGAAAGTTAAATCTGTGTTTAGTTTCACTCCAAGATCTCTAACCTCGAATGTACGCTTCAAAACTTCACCATCGATCTCATATTTGAAGTGGAGTGGTGATTTTGATCTACTAAAACTTATTACTGAGCATTTATTAATGTTAAAATTTAGTTTGTTATTTTGGCTCCATTCGACTACTCTGTCCACATCGTCTTGCAAACGCACACAGTCACTTGTATCTCTGACCTCTAGGAGCAATTTAAGGTCATCGGCGAATAATAAACATCCAGCATTCTGTACTACCTCTGACAGGTCATTGATCATTATCAAAAATTCCAAAGGGCCTGGGTTCGATCCCTGACTTACCCCAGTTCTTGTGAGATAAGGTTCAGACCTGCACCCGCCATACTCAACATATTGCTTTCTATCCCTCGTGTAGGTAGCGAAAAACTTTAAAAGTTTTTTATTGCATCCGATAGCCGCCAACTTTGTGAGAAGTATATCATTATCAACCATGTCGAACGCTTTTTTAAAATCAAAGTAGGTGGTAACAACCTGCATCCCCGCGTCCACATGAGGGATGATATATGCGATCACATTGAGCAGATTGCTTGTGGTGCTACGCTCCTGCCTGAACCCATGTTGAGCGTCCGAAAGTTGAAATCACACACAACACAATCACAACCCTCCAGAACCAAATAATCTGTTTCAGGTCCCTAGAAATTTAGCCCTTCTACTCCTACTGTCCTCCAGAAGAAGAGTACATGATTTGACAACTTCTCAGGATAGACTCAGATTACTTAGAACAAGCAGATAATGAGGCGGCCATTTTCTGGTCCATGTTTTGTTCTAAAACAGACAAATCCGAATATATACAATCAGGATGGAAATTACTTAAGAATGAGCAACAATTATGGGATATTATATACTTATAATTTTTATTATTTTTAAAGCATGTAACTGCTTGATGTTTAAATCTAAAGAAAATATAACTAGAAAAAATTCCACGCGGACCAGGCAGCAGACGGGACTCGAACCCGCACCCTTCGCAATCCCGTCGTTCGCAAGTGCATTCGCCCGGATTGCGAAGGGTGCGGGTTCGAGTCCCGTCTGCTGCCTGGTCCGCGTGGAATTTTTTCTAGTTATATTTTCTTTAGATATTATATACTTACTGGCTTAGGCAACACATTGAAATATCTCATGGAAGAAGACAAGTCAATAGCCTAGTTATCACATCCTTGTTTATAAGAACTAGAGGAAAGATTGGCCCGGTCTCACGCGCCATAATAGCTGGCTGGGTTCGAACAGCTCTGTTAGCTGCAGGAATCCAAACCGGGGCAGGTAGTACCCGATCTGCGGTGGCAACTTTCAGATTTAATAACTGCCTGCCGTTAGATGAAGTGTTAAAAAAGGGTAATTGGCAAGGTCCCAATAATTTCTTCAAATATTATTATAAAGAAATTGATAAATCGACCTGCGGGGTTGTTAATAGGAACACTATTACAGATTGTTTTGTACCATTGTGATTTTATGACTGATTAGTATTAAACAGATTGTCTAAAATTAAAATCATGAGGCTATTATTAATGCTCTAGAAGTTTTATGTTGATTTGTTTTAAATCACAAAGTTTATCAGTTCATACATATCACATTTAAGTTTGTTAAAGTGTCACCTTCAAAGGAAGTTATCGTTAAATTTCATTTCATTTCCGTGTTTTCATTCAAAAAGACTAAACCATTGGTGTCGATTCTGGCATGATTCTCTAAACCTAAAGTTAAATTTGACAGCAGCCTTGTCATTCTCTATACAGAATGAAAAGGAGAGATTGATGTTAAATTTAGTTTTAAGTTTAGAGAGTCACGCCAGAATAGGCATGATGACGAGGTACAGTAAACGAAATTCTATTTAGTCCCTCAGTTAGATGATCGAAAAATAATGGACACGTATTTTTTCTTTGGGCAATCAACCAAAAAATGACAAAGTTATAGCGCGTCAAAGTTTGGGAGTAGGGGCTCGTGACGTCACTTTTGAGTGAATTTTCCCTTTTAAGTGTACTCAAACGTGACGTCATGCGACTTTTCAAATCAATATATCTCTGCAATCTTTATATTATGTGAAAAAAGAAAAATTACGTGTCCAATACTTTTTGATAATCTACCTGATAAACGAAGATAAAAAAATTGTCATCATCCCTATTGGCACCATTATCTATCCAATCAAATAAATTGTTATCGTACTTATTCCTAATACCCGCCATACACACTACGATAAATCGTTACGATTAGACTGTACAGTCCGAACGGTACCGATAAATCGTAGCGTGTATGTTATAAAACTGTACAGTTTCCTATACTAAACGAATTCGTATAAACTGTACCGTTCGAACTGTACAGTCTGATCGTAACGATTTCTCGTAGTGTGTATGGCGGGTAGTATAAATAAAAAAGTAGGATACCACAGTACGCTGCTGTACTTAAGCTGTTGCTAGCATGCCGTCAGATTCAATTCAAGACACATCTCAAAGGACAGGCCATATGCACAGAGCCGAAATAGAGCAATTTCTCCCCCGAAGGGTAGAAAATTTAAATTGATATTTCGGGTCTTGCCGTAGACTTGACCATATACGATCTCACGTTATTGACTAATGTTTATGGAGTCCGTAAAAATTGGATATTCATCATTCTGTTGTGTATTTCAGAAAAATAACCAAATCAAATACTCCATTTTCAAATTGCTGCGAAAACGTTTTTCTGGACAATATGGCGTCTTACTAGTGTGTGACGTCACACGACTGTTATTAAAACGTCAAACGATACAATGTAATGTCACTAACCGTAAATTTACTTGCGTGTGGCGTCATTTTAGGCTCCGCCAATCCCAAGCGTTTTGAGTCACGTGACAGATAGTTAAGAAAACTATCACTCGTGTCCAAACTTCATGCTCATTACGATCTGCCCCCATCTGATCGAAATACGTGAGCTGCGTGTGACAGCTACTAACCGACTGATTGAGAATAGGGATGTTCGATATCGAATCGATTAATCGTTTGTAAAATTTTGCGCATTATACGTATAATCTATAAATTAATTTAATGGATGTAATGGATTATTTTACATCGATTAATCGATTCGCAATGACCTTCATTATGGTCTTGTCATTCATAAATTAACAATGCCTAAACATGAAACAAGTCTCAAAAATCATCATAACAAACTTCGACAGCTGACAGCTTTGTCCATACAATACCCACTGTTACTTTAGTTTAGTCTTTAAAACCATCTCTGTCTATATGTAATAATGTAAAACG